TCATCCAGCTCTACACCTTGTTATCTCAGATTTTCTAGCATCTGCAGTTCCTACCATCTCTTATACAAGTAGATCTGTTACCTTTACAAGATTAAAACATTTAACCTGTTTTTCAATCATATCATAAATCAGTACATTCATCAGTTTAGCTAAAAATCAAAGGAAACAACTGTAAAGATTCCAATTTGGATTCCTTCAGCTAACATTCTTGGCTGGTTAATGATTGTTTTTATATTTGATTAATTGCTTTCTATTGAAGCTCCAAATATTTATAAGTACACTTTCTTGTTATTTTACAAATATAATTCTACTGCACAAGTGGCAGTGATACAATTCCATTGGTGATGAATGCTGGAAAACGATCTAATTCAGGGGTTCTTAACTTTTTACTTCTGAGCGAAGCTCCCTCTAAACCACACAGTCAAGCAGCTGCTGGGACATGCCAGTGCATGCACACAGACCCCGAGGTGGGCACAGCAAAGAAAGGCAATTAGAGGGAACATGCTTCGAAGAACCCCTCCTCCCAAGGAAAAAAATAAATCCACAGAACCAGTGTGGCACAAAGCAACTTTTTATCCCTGTTTCAAAATTAGTTATGCAATTACACATTCATTATTTTTGTTTACTTAAATTATGAAACTTGTTGGTCAGCACTAGAAATACTTCTGTCCAGACATGGCAATATCAAGCATTTAGCCATTTCTAGTAAATACTGTTTGTGTTGAACTATGTCTTTTCTATTTTTTTTAAATTATCTCACTCTCACTGATTTGCCTTGTTTTGGTCTGCAAATTACAATATTACTGACATTATTAACTGCTTTGTGATAGCTTGCTAAACTACAACCAAAGCTGGTAGAGTTCTGAAGATAGTAGAGTACTATAAGTTAGTAGATTGATACAGATTACTAGAATTATTATGAAGATGAGACACTAATGTAGTGTTAGTAAAGTCTGTTTGAGTTAGTTGACTATCGTGAAGATTGGTAGAGTTATACTTAAATTATTGGGCTAATGTTAAAAGGGTCAAATTGCTGGTAGTACTAAAGGGACCAATGAGTACTAATGAGAACAGAGCAATTCTGCTGAGGTTGGACATCATCCTCTTGACAAAATGGTAGACTAATAACAATGCGCCTCTATATTTATAAGGTAGTTTCTACAATAAGCCCAGAAGTCATTAAGAAATGTTCCTGTGGCAGCCAATGTAATTTATTAATTTTAGTAGACCCTTTAAAACCTCTCTGCAGATTTCTTGGGGACAGTGGAATCCCAGTTAAGAATTCCCTGTTCTAATTAATACAAGTGATACATAAAGTCACAAACCACAGGGGCTCAACTTACCTCCCTCGTAAATTCAGTCTAAAATTAATAATTAGGTATGAACTACACCCTTACAAAAAATGGAATGCTTCACCAATTAAACTCCACATACTCAATTTATCACCATTACCAAAACAGGAACACCTGTTCCTTTGAAGCATAACTGATGATGCCTGATCTTGACAAAGTATTAACAAGCACATATAGAAAGAGGCAACTCTTTAAAGTTTTTGAGAAGATTTCTAGCTTGGTTCGTGGATGAGGTTGTAGACATGCTCGCCAAGCCAGTGTGTTTGATTGCAGATGTTTTGTCACTCTTCTAGGTAACATAGTCAGTGCGCCTCCGGTGAAGCGTCAGTGTTCTGTCCCGGTTATTATTTATATGCCTCTGTTTTCTGGGGTGGTTAGCATCACTTCAGGTTCTGTTTTGCAGTGGTTTGTATATCGGGTCCAGTTCAACATGTTTGTTTGATGGAGTTCTGGTTGGAATGCCAGGCCTCCAGGAAGTCCCTGGCATATCTCTGTTTGGCTTGTGCTATTATGGATGTGTTGTCGCAGTCGAACTTGTGTCCTTCTTTGTCCATGTGTATTGAGACCAGTGAAAATTGGTCATGTCTCTTGGTGGCCAGTTGGTATTCGTGTATCCTTATTGTCAGTTTTTTCTCCCTGTTTGGCCTATGTAATGTTTCTGTCAGTCCCTGCGTGGTATTTTGTATATTACATCAGTTTTATTGATAATGGGTATACCAGAATTGATACCAACCACCCCAGCAAATTAAGGCATATAAATAACAAGTGGGGCAGAACACCAACGCTTCACCGGAGGCACACTGACGACGTTACCTAGCAGGGTGATGAAACGTCTGCAATCAAACTTACTGTCTCGGCGAGCAAGTCTACAACCTCAGGAAGCTCATTACTCCCATCATAAGCTCTAGTTGTATTCTATCAATTGTAGTACAGTCAGCACATCTCTCAAAAATGAACTTGCTCAAGGAAAAGGACATGAAGGGGTGGGAATACGCTTGGGACACAACATTAGAACTACTATTTTGTGGAAAATAAACGCAAGCAGAATTGTTCAGCTTTGTGTCCTATTGCAGTATTATAACTTATATGCAGCACCAAACACGATAGAAAATACACACTGGAACCAAGCAGAATAAAAGGTGGCTGCTCGGCTCACGAGCAATCTCATTAAGATTGATCTTTTCCTGTAATCTGCAACCTGTTTCAGCTTCAAGTGTACATCCAAATCCTTTTCCGGCATGGCATATTCCAGGTGAAGTCCCTATTCCCTTTGAAATCTCAAGCTGAAGACTATGACATCAATTTTTAGCAAGTTTTCTTATATATATGGTTTTAATATTTTCAAGTGCTTTTTAAAATGGCTTACCTACTCCCAATCCAGAAACAGAACCCGGATGGGAGGAGGAGACAGGGAATAGAGGGAAACAGGGGGCATCTTAATCTAAATTTACAGCTGTCTGTTCATTTTGTGGTTGAGGCAAAAGTGACGTAATGGTAATGTCTCTGGTTTAATAAGCCAGTACCCCAGGCTAATGTTCTGAAGACATGGATTTAAATCTTGAAATGGCAGATAGAATTCAATAAACTTCCGTAATAAAATGCTAGCGTTTAATGCTCTTTATGGAAGGAGATCTGCCATTCTTTCCTGATCTAGCCTACATGCGACTCCAAATCCATAGTAGTGCAGCTGACTCTTAAGTCTAATGGGGCAATTATGGGTGGTCAATAAATACTGGACCTGTCAGTAACCCACATATCCCTCGAAAAAATGGCAGGGGGGAAGAGATTTGCAGCGCAGGCTCCTTGATTTACACTTGTGATTATGAGCACAAATGTTTTGCATGAACAGTCCATGTAGATAGAGGACAAGCACACAATGTTTGTTCCTGCCTCTTTAATAAAAGATCAGGCCATCAATGTCAGGTGCACCACAAGTGTAAGTCTGTGTTAAGTCAGCTCATTGGATCTCGTGGTGCTGTTGTGCGTCTCAATAGCAGCAAACTGCTCAGCATACCCCTCTACCGAAGAAGAAAAATCTCGAACATGGCATTCCTGATAAAGTGAAAATTGCACATAAATGGACTATTCTTTTATACTAGAGTAAACATATAGCAAGAAAGAGAAAACCCTGCATTTATTTGGGCATCTCAAAGCACTTTACAATCAATTAAGTATTTTTGATAGTGCACAGTGCTGTGATTGCAGGCAATGAGACAATTTACATACAGTAAATTCTCTCAGATAGCAGTGATAATGATCAGATAATCTGCTATTTGATGTTGACCAAGGAACATTATTAAATTTTAAAAAACTCCTCCGTTCTTTTCTGAAATAGTGCTCTGGTATTTTCTATCTCCAGATCAGAGAAGGGACAGGACGGGACCTTGGTTTAATATCTGGGCCACAAGACAAAACCTTCAACAATGAAGCACTGCCTCAATCAACCGATCTTCAAAACCTGGGCCTGGGTCCATGGGTCTTGTGCCATTACCACAATGCCACTGCGTCCCTATCTTTCTTCGACTGCCTGGCTGCAGCATGTTATGGCCAATTAAGTGTCAGTAATCAAAACCAAAACATTTGAGATGTTTTCTGATGATCAGAGAAATCTTTTGGAAGTCAAAACATAAACACTACTAACAAACAAAGCTCATGCACTCACAGAATTTGACTCTGGGGAGATTTTCCAAATTTCGTCTGTCTAGTAAAATAAAGAAATTGATGGAATCTAATTCAACATAATATAAAGTAATCTTGAGTCACGTCACAAAATTTAAAAATACTTACATGCACCTTTGGGGTTGGAGGAAGACCATTGCTAATAGGTTTCTGTAAGGGGAGATAAGGGAAAGAAAAGTATATAAAGAGGGGTCAGGAATTAGAAAATGAAATTACTTTGATCACTTTGTCAGAGAATAATCAGTATTCAAAGAGTAAAAGTTCATGAAACTTCTCATATTTCTGAACCAATTTTACAGTAAAGTCTACAACTACAACTAGCATTCAATAAATCAGCTCATTCCTTACCACTAATAAGTTTTCTCATGATCTATTACATAGCTTACTTTTCTTCACCTCACAATGTCCCAAGGTCATGAATGACATGCCATGTGACTGTCAGAATGGTAAACTACCCTCCTCATCCTTCACAAACTTTTGACACGGTTGATGATATTACTTTCTTCCAATGCTTCTTTATCCTGGCCCAACTGGATAGGTTTGCTTTCACCAGAGTTCCATTCTTAGCTACCTAGCCAAGACCATAGAATCACGCACAACAGTTTTTGCACACCCAACAGTTTTTGCATTGTTACTTCTGCTGTTCACAGAGATCTATCTTTAGACCCCTCCTATACCCCATCCACAAGTCCACAGCAACACCATCCCAAAAAAAGTGCCCATTTCTAATAATAAGCAGATGTGAAACAGTCTACCTCATCATCTCTCCTGACCCAGTGTTTCTAAATTGCAACTTGACTAAGTTTTGCAGATTGACACATCACAAGGATTCAGGACATGCTGATGGATGTACTAAAGTTTGGGGCAGATGTTACAGAGCCACAATGGGGAAAGGTTATTATCCAAGGTAGTTCAGCCATATTATAGCAAGGAACTGGAAACTGTGGCAGTCCCTCAGGTGGTGTGCCTTAAACACAGAAAAGGTGACGGTATTAATGCATGGTCGGTAATAGCTTAGTGGTATTATCACTAAACTAAAATTTAGAGATCTAGGTAACATTCCGGGGTCCTGGCTTTATATCCTGCCATGGCAGATAGTGGAATTTGAATTCAATAATAATTTGGAAATAAGAGTCTAATGACGACCATGAAATCATTGCCATTGTCAGGGAAAACCCATCTGGTTCACTTTTGTCTTTAGGGAAGGAAATCTGCCATCCTTATCTGGTCTAACCTAGTGACTCCAGACCCACAGTAATGTGGTTGACTGAACTGCCCTCTGGGAAATTAGGGATGAGCAATAAATGCTGGCACAGCTAGTGATGCCCACATTCCCATGAATGAACAAGATTATTGCTGGCCTATTATTCCAGAAACTCAGGTAATGTTCTGGGGGACCTGTGTTCTAATGATACAATGGCAGACGCTGGAATTTGAATTCAATAAAAAAAAATGAAATCTGGAATTAAGAGCTCACTAATGACCATGAAACCATTGTTGATTATCAGAAGAAAAATACATCTGGTTCATGTCTTTAGGGAGTTAGTGAAGTGCAGGGAAACCTAGAAAGGCCAGGGACACTGAAGTCATTTAGGAGGATGTTACTTAATTCTGTTATTTCAGCAAAGAATAAACTTGACATGTTGTCCAATTGTCAGGTGGGAAAACAGATGGCAAGAAACCAGTGTTTCAGCATCCCAGAACAGGTAGCAGGAGTTACAGACTGCTAGTTGACAAGTGGTGGTTTTGGGACAGATGGACAAGTGGGCTGTGCACATGTGCAAAGAGGATATCACTGCAGTGGGCTGGAATTTCCAAACTCATCATAGTGCACATTTGACAATCTAGTCAAAGTTTAAACCTTATGGTACAATACTCCAAGTCCAAATCAGAATTACAACCTTAACTGAAAGGCAAAATTTGCCCATCTATACTGGGCCAGTTGACAGTAGATGACAGGCTGTTATGTATTTCACATGGGATGGGAATTGTAATAATTATATGCGCTACCATATCGGTATGGGAAACAGCAAAAGCTTTACACCAAAGGAAAAAAAACAGCATTCTTGAACCAACCAATTACAGAATAGGGATAACTGGTGAAAGAAGTCAACCGTACAGCCCTGATAGAAAATGAGACTTGAATGAAATTAATGCAGAAGGGAAAATTTCAAACAATTACATTCACCTTTCACAGAAATAACACCAAACTGGTGTACAAGTAAGAGTTATCCTTCCATTCACCCTTAACAGGAAAAGGCAAGAAAAGATATGCTGCAATAATATAAGAATTATATTTACAAAGATTGGAAGCACAAATCCATTAGCTACAGCATATAACAGAAACATTACAAAGTAAATTGAATCCTCACGGGGAGATCTTTTTTGTCTTTCCTTGGAGGAAGCCCTGGTGGATAACTGCTTCTGTTTTCATACAGTTGCTGAGGACTGCTGTCTTTCTCCCCATTCACTTGAATTGAGTTCACTCCATTTCCTGAACAGAAAAGTACACAATTTCAGTAAGCATGAACACGTTGATAGAATTGGTCCTGAAAACACTAACAGATAAAACTACATTGCACAAGTAGCTTGAACCCTCTAACCACAAACTTTAAAAAGGTGTCTTACAACAAGCAATGCCACTTACTGTTTACCTTCCTGAGTCTGTACCTTATCACTGACAGGGCCTTCAAAAACAAAAACCTGTCAAGGTAATCTTCTACTTGCCAGATTATAGTACAGCTTCATTTCTGTTCCAGAAAAATGGAGAAGCTGAGACTCGTGTTAGTGGTTAAGATGAACAGAACTTTTCAGTTTTAATGCGTCTGCTCTCATCTCACTGGATGCTTTGTTGCTCCATTTTATCCCTGATTAGGAATTCATGACCCAATGCTGCTGCAAAATGTGACAGTAGTCATTCAGAATTTGCAAAAATTAAAAAAAATGGCTCAGCAATTTCATCCACCAAATGTCTTAATGTCAACTAGGGTAAAGCACAACGACTGGAAGCAGAAGTGGCAATGCTCTGTTCCCAACATCAAATGGATCAACATACCAATGTTCAATTCAGAATGAAGACAAACCAGTAGCTTCTGCACCTGTGAGCAGATGTATGACTATGACTACAGAATATAACATGGAAACATTTTATGGAACAAGAAAATTTAAATACGTCCCTTGAAAGGCATAAGTATCTTAAAAGGATAACTCTCCTGGCAGACAAGTATAAACTAACAAAAGTAGGAGAATGGGAAGCCACCACTTTTGGTTTTAAATCTTTTAGTTTTAAAAGTTAAAAACAAACATGTACATTTGGATTACTTCTTATGACATAATACATTTTGTAGATTGATGAGCTAAGTAGAATTTATAAAAGCCACTTGTTGTGCCTTGTAAATTTTTCTTCTCTTTTAAAAAGTTCATATTATTTTCCTGCTCTTTTTGTTCAAGCCTTAAAGGCATGTACGTCCCGCTCAGCTATTGTGCCTATCTTTGCTAACCTATATTAACTCTTAGTCCACCAATGTTTCACAGATAAAATATGTATTGTCACATTCCATTATGTCTTTAACACACTCTCAAGCTCCTGGTCTCGCAGTGAAGCCTTGTGCGGACTCAGAGAAGCCCGGGGCAGACTCACCTGTTCCATCTGCTTTAAGTTTTTTCCACTCTTTCTCTGTTTTAGAAGGACTGTAATGCTGAACTATTAACTTCATTTCTTTATTTTTCCAACTTATACCCAAGATGTTGTACTTAGACACCTTTGTACCTAAGACCATGCTACAAATGGCAACTTTGTACACTTTTCACTGTACTCATGTATCCCTATACTTGAGTACATCACAATAAAACCTAATTCTAATTCTCTTCACAATTTAAAAATAAGGTGTTCCCAATTATGATGGTGGAAGAGGACTTTTTTCTGAGGGTTGCAGGTCTTTGGAATCCTCTTCCACTGAAAACAGTGGAAGTGGGGTCATTTAATTCTTTTAAGACAGAAGTACATTGGCTCTTTTTTTGGTCAAAAGTCCAAGGTTATTGTGCGTTGGCAGAATTGTGGAATTGAGGTCAGGAGCAGACCAGCAAGACCAAATGGTCTACTCCTGTTCCTATTTTATATGTTTGCATTCCTAAGTTTTCTAGCCTCACTTTTCTAGTCCTAACCCGAAACGTCAGCTTTCCTGCTCCTCTCATGCTGCCTGGCCTGCTGTCTTCCTCCAGCTCCACACTGTGTATTCTCTTATCCCATTGTCATTACCTAAGATGCTGGTCCTGATATAACTACTGTTGGGAGGTAACCGAGGAGGGGGAGGTCTTGGTGGCACTTGTGTGCTTGGTCGTGCAGGGCTGTCAGACGGACATCTCTTGATTGTGCCTTGATTCTCTTCCTCAGGATAACTGTTTTCTTGTGGTATGTAGATTGACTTTGGCTAAATATAATAAAAGAATAATCATTTTTAAAAAACACAGGAATTTCTGAATGTTTTAAAATCTATCAAATTTCTATAAGCCTGGCGCTATCTTGTTGGTGTCAAATTTTTACATTTACTGTTATTATTCTCTTAACTTAAGCAAAGAATGAATGCAGGTTTCAAAATTACTCTCAGTTAATCAGTTTCTGTTAACGCTAAAGATTTTTAAGACAAGTAATCAGTCAGTCAGTCAGTCAGTCAGTCAGTGAGGTGATTAGAGCTATGAACTACATTTACCAGCTATTATCATACAAAGGACAACCACCACAGACTGCTCATGGGCCTGTGTTGAAAGCAAAAGGTATCTGAAAACCTCAGCTTAAGCTAACAGATTTTTAAAGTTCTTTCAATAGATGGGAGTGTAATTGGTGACCTGCTCTTGTACCAATTGTTGAAAACAACTGGTCCAATTCAGTTTCTGGTCCATAGCAAGCCCCCAGGATGGCAATACCATTACCCGTCATGAAGAAATGGTTACACTTTCTGTTGTTGGAGATAGTCATTGCATGTCACTTGTATAGTACAAATATTACTTGCCACTGATCAACCGAAGCCTCAATGTTACTGAAGTCTCAAAGATGAGAACTGTTTTTAGCATGTCCGGAGTTACAAATGGCATTCAACATTACATATTCATCAGTGCACACGTCCGCTTCTGACCTTATGATGGAAGAAAGCTCACTGATGAAATAGCTGAAGGTGACTGGGCTCAGGACACTACCTTAAGAGACTCTCCCAGCAACGTCCTTCCAATTGAGATAATTGGCCTCAGTCAATCACAACCATCTTCCTCTGTGCTATTTAATTCTCAAACCAGTTGAGAAATTCCTTTGACTCTAGTTTTGTTAAGGCTCCTTGATATCACACTCCGTGAAATGCTGCTTGAGCATCAAGGACTTTCACTCTCATGTCACCTTTTGAGTTCAGTTTTTTTGTCCACTCTTCAACCAAGGCTGTAACAATGTTAGGAGCCATGAGGCCTGGTGGAATCCAACCAATCATAGAATCCCTCCAGTGAGGAAACAGGCCATTCAGCCCAACAAATCCACACCAACTCTATGTAGTGTATGCCACCCTGACTCAACCCCCTTTTTTAAGGTATGCCTAGTGCTGCTCCAGCATGCTCTCCTGCACTCTTCATTGAAAGAGTGGTGATCCCCTGGATCGATGGTAATGAGAAAGCAAAGGATATCCTTGGCCATGAGGTCAACATTGTGTTTGAATACAATTCTGCTGCAGACCTATAGCACCGAACAATGTCCAGTTGAGTTAGTAGATCTGATCTGAATCGATCCCTTGGGATGTCATACAACACAAAATTACCACTTTGTTCATGTACTTTTCAAGCTTAATTGTCAACTAATAGCTAACATGCACTACAATGATTCAAATATTCCAAATGAATCATTATTCTGGAGGTTGAGCCATACATATCAAATCATTTCGAGTTTGGTCTATGCTTAATCAGCTACCGTCAATTAAGCCTGACCTCAATATCCCAAACAATGAGTAAACAAAACAACCAGTATTCAACTCTTGATTTCTTCCTAACATTCTGGCGTAATTCCAAATATTGTCGCATTGCAGTAACTGACTTTATGCATTAAGTATACTTGAGCAAAATAAAATATGGCTGTCATTCCAATGTACTAACTGAAGGAGTGCTACACAACTTTCAGATGAGATACCCTGTCACAGAGGCCCACTAACCCCCAAGGCATGTCTGTACTCAGATAGATGTAAAATATCATATGACACTGTTTCAAAGAACAAAAGCGGAGTTCTTCTGAATATCCTGGCCAATAGTTACCCTTTGATCAACAACATAAAAAGATTTTTAATTAGTCATTATTACATTGCTGCTTTTGGAAGTATGTTGTGTTCAAACTGGGTGCTTTGTTCCTATGTTACAATGAGCATACTTCAAAAGATATTGCATAGGCTATAAAGTGCTCTGGATATCCTGAGGTTGGGAAAGGACATGCATGTCGTCTTCTTAAATGAATTGTGAACATTTTGCCACTATTTAATAAAATCATCTACATTTATTACACTTTAAATATTGCGTTGTAAAGTAATTGAAAAAGCAACTAAGACAGAGTCTGGTTAAAGACTAGTCATGTGAATTGATGAAGAATGTGAGAAACTAAGGCAGAAATAGAAAATGAGTTTGAAAGCATATGCAATCACAAAAATGAAAGTGTGCAGGAAATGGGATATACAAGACTATGGATGGCACAGTGGCTCAATGGTTAGCACTGCTGCCTCAACGTCAGGAACCTGGGTTCAATTCCATCCTCCGATGGCTGTCTGTGTTGAGTTTGCATTTTCTCCCCGTGTCTGTGTGGATATCCTCCCGGTGCGCCAGTTTCCTCCCACAGATCAAAGATGTGCAGGTTAGGTGAATTGGCCATGCTAAATTGCCCATAGTGTTCAGGGATGTGTAGATTAGGTGGGATGTTCCAAGGGTCAGTGTGGACTTGTTGGGCTGAAAGGCCTGTTTCCATTACTGCAGGGATTCTATGATCTGTATGCTAGAATGAAGGTGTGGAGTGTAAATGAGCATATGCAAGGCAGCATACGGAGGCAGACGTTGAGTGCGATTATATGTAGAAATAGAAAGCAACAGTGTGCACAACTACAAAATAAGAAGTGTTCACACAAATTTGAGAGGTAAGCATGTAGAGAGGACAGGCACACTAGAGTACAGAAATAAAAACACGTGAGAATAAATTTGCATATGCAGAAAATGCAAGTCCAAACGGACAAAAGATTACATGTGCATAAACAATATTAAGTGAATGTATGTAAATGGAAACACACAAGGACGGAATAGAATTGTCCCAATTGCCAGAATCTAGGCCCAAAGGCGTAAGATATTAAATAAGGCAGAGTAATGTGGTCATGCAATTATACCAATCATAATTCATATCCTCAGGAGAATAGGCAACAGAGACAATTTTACAAAGCAGAAATGATTCAAAAACTCAATTTACATACTTTGCATTAAACAAGGAACGAATATTTTTCAATTTAGTGCTATCTTCATGGAAAATGATTTTTTATAAGCCCTGATTTTAGTGCTGAGAAATCTACAGTGACAGCATTACCTTTTCTCTGGTTGAACCATTCAATAATTGTAGAACATTTTCATAAAGGGTGCAATCCTGGCAATTCGGGGAGGCGATGGCCTAGTGGTATTATCACTGGACTGTTAATCCAGAAACCCAGATAATGTTCTGGGGAACCAGAATCAAACCCCGTCATGGCAGATGGTGGAATCTGAATTCAATACATATCTGGAAATAAGAGCCTGATGATGACCATAAATCCATTGCCGATTGTCGGGAAAAACCCATCTGGTTCACTAATGTCTTTTAGGGAAGGAAACTGCCATCCTTACCTGGTCTGGTCTAAATGTGACTCCAGAACCACAGCAATGTGGTTGACTCTTAATTGCCCTCTGGGCAATTAGGGATAGGCAATAAATACTGCCTAGCCAGCGATGTCCTCATCCCGTGAATGAATAAAGGAAAAAAAATTCACAGTATTGGCATATGCAATACATGCCACACTGTATGATGGTGTAGCAACCACGAAATAACGCTAAATATTAAACATACAAGTTATTACACATTAGGCTGAAGAACTTTCTTTAAGTTGCCTCCCTTCCATTTTTAATTAATGCCTTTGCCCAACCCTTCTCATTCAGTTTTGCAATCTTACTTCATATTCCAATTACTTTGGAACTTCAGCGATGTAATTTCCTCTCATTTTATCTTACAATTTTGATATACTAACCTGATAAGCAAATTCTCAGTCATCACATTTAATTTTTCTTTGGCTTAATATTGGTAAAATAAAAGTGATTTTTTTTTTATTCCTGCCAACAATCATATAGCTCTAACTTCAAACCTATTAACACCCTGTTACTAACTCCCTGTTTCACAAGACATCAGCATCCTACTTGACTGGAAGCTCACCTTTTTAATAACTGTGATCTGGTAATCCAACTGCATCCTTCTCTGTTCCATAAATTTCTAAAATTTATAGATTCAATACTCATCAATATTTATTCCTTTGAAGCTCATAATGCTCAACTGGGTGTTAGTGCAATTATTAGCACAATCAGGATTGGTTAGTAAGTACTATCAAAGCACAGAAACACATTTAATCTTGGACAACATGTTCTGAGTTTTGCAAATGCAGGCTGGTGGAATACAGCCAATACACTGTCTTTTGTGATTGGCAAAAACAATATGCTGTTTGTTACAATCCACCAGTTGTTGGGGCATAAGGCTGACAAATCCAGTACCATACTGGCACACATTCATATCCTACACATTCAAATATTAGGCAGAATGTCTTTTTAGCTCAACGACAGCATCCTGTGAATGATGAATCCCATTCAGGTTTACTGCAGAGTAATAGTGTGAAATACCTATCTTCAAGTGTTGCTCAAACATTTGAGACCCATTATCTTGCCAGATGATCTGAAGTAGACTGAACACTTTTCAGGACTGAAAGTGGCAGCCTTTGACCTACTCATGGGCTCTGCATCAAATACGGCAAGGAATGGTTTATTCATGGTGGCCATTATCCTGCAGAATAGCTCTGATAAGCCATATTCCGGCATCAGACTTGCACAGTGGGCACCTAGCCTGGGCTCAATTATGAGGTTGTAGCTCAGGCCAATTCAGTACTGTGTGAAATTGTAAGAATCCCAAAATGTATACTGACCAGCAACAGTGGGCCTGTAGACAGTAGTAGAGAACCCATTAACAGATTTCTCAACGAGCATATTGGGAGATTGTTAAACTGCTCTATTTCAGAGATGAATTGAGCTGTCGATGGAGTCCATTAAGATGTGTAAGAAAATTCTTACGTACAGTTGCAAAGATAAACATAGCAAACGTATCATCTTCAGGTTGGAAATGTGCAAAGGCTAAGAGGTGAAAAATAATTCCATCAAAAAAGTGTTTCTCTTGGAAACCAAAAAAAATTAGCATCAACTAGGTCTAGAGGGGATCCCATGGCAACGTATATAAGAGTTTATAACTAGGAAGGCTTCAGAGGGATATAGGCCAAATGCTGGCACATAGGACTAGATTTACTTAGCTATCTGGTCGGCATGGATGAGTTGGACTGAAGGGTCTGTTTCCATGCTGTACATCTGTGATTCAATACACAAACATAGTCACCAAAGCAGCTCAGTTCTGTACAGTCTTTGCATATGGAGAACAAAAAAAAACCAAAGGCATTTCTTACTTATGCAAGATGCTATTTACATATATTTGAGGCACCAGAGACATCGAAAAATGACAGGAAGGTAGTCAATGGGACTGGAACAGTCATCGTCAACAAGGATGATTATGTTAACAATACTGCACTTATTGACAAGTCTGAATTTGCATCCACTGGTTCACTTACATTGGCTACAGCTAAAGTAAGTTATGGGAAGTTATGGAAGAACTTGTGGGGCCCCCAGCAGAAATATTCATATCATTTTTAACCATGGGTGAGGTGCCAGAGCACTGGAGAGTGGCTATTGTTGTGACTTTACTTGAGAAAGGCTGTAAGGAGAAGCCTGGGAACTATGGACCTGTAAGACTGACACTGGAGGTGGGGGTAAGTTGTTGGATGTGATTCTGAAAGATAGAATTTACACGCATGTGGAGAGGCAAGGACTGGTTAGGGATAGTCAAACATGGTTTTGTGCGAGGGAAATCGTGTCTCACAAACTTGATTGAGTTTTTTTGGAAGAAGTAACCAAAAAAAAAAATTGATGAAGGCAGAGCAGTAGACGTTGCTCATATGGACTTCAGTGAAGCCTTTGACAAGGTTCCGCATGGTAGACTAATTTAAGTTAGATCACATGGGATTTAGGGTGAGCTTGTAAATTGGATACAAAATTGGCTTGATGGTAGAAGACAGAGGGTGGTGGTGGGGTGTTGTTTTTCGGACTGGAGGCCTGTGAACAGTGTTGTTCTACAGGGATCAGTACTGGCTCCACTTTTGTTTGTCATTTATACAAATGATTTGGATGAGAATACAAGAGGTGTGATTAGTAAGTTTACAGATACATGAAAATTGGTGGTATAGTTGACAGGGAAGAAGGCTAAGATTATGAAGAGATCTTGATCAATTGGGTCAATGGGCTGAGGAGTGACAGATGGAGTTTAATTTAGATAAATGCAAGGTATCAGCACTGCTGCCTCACAGCGCCAGGAACCCGGGTTCAATTCCCAACCCTCGGGCGACTGTCTGTGTGGAGTTTGCATATTCTCCCCATGTCTAGAACAGAGACACCTAGCGGTTCAGGTACATAATTCTGTGAAATTTGTGTTACAGGTAGACAGGGTGGTTAAGAAGGCATTTAGTATGCTTGCCTTCATTGCTCAGACTATTAAGTATAGGAGTTGGGATGTCATGTTGAGGTAGTACAGGACACTGGTGAGGCCTCTTCTGCAGTACTGTGTACAGTTCTGGTCACACTGCTATAGAAAGGGTATCATTAAACTGGAGAAGGTTCAGAAAGGATTTGGCAGGATGTTGCTGGGAATGGAGGATTTGAGTTATAAAAATAGGCTGGATAGGCTGGGACATTTTTCACTGGAGCTTGGCAGGTTGAGGGATGACATTATAGAGGTTTATAAAATCATAAGGAACATAGAGAAGTAGAATAGCAGGGGTCTTTTCCTGGGGGGTGGCGAATTCAAAACTAGAGGGTATATTCTTAAGGTGAGAGGAGAAAGTTTTAAAAAGGACATGAGGGGCATTTTTTTTTTTAAACGTAGTGGTTCATGTGTGGATGAACATCCAGAGGAAGTGGTGGATGCAGGTACAGTTGCAACATTTAAAAGATATTTGGATGAGCACATGAAAAGGTCTGGAGGGATATGGGCCAAATGCGGGCTTAGCTCAAAGTTCAGGTTGTTGTTCCCTATGCAATTTGGTACAATCGTAATTCTGTCCTCACAGTGCAAGACAAAAAGGTTCAACAGCAGCACAGTGGTTCAGTGATTAGCACTGCTGCCTCACAGCATCAGGGACCCAGGTTCCATTCCCGCCTCGGGCGATTGTGTGTGTGGAGTTTACACATTCTCCATGTCTGCGTGGGTTTCCACTGGATGCTCCAGTCTCCTCCCACAGTCCAGAGATGTGCAGGTTAGGTGCATTGGCCATTCTAAACTACCCATACTGTCCAAGATGTGTAGATTTGATGGGTTACAGGGAAAAGGGGGAAGGGGGATAAGTCTGGGTGGGATGCTCTTCAGAGGGTCAGTGTGGACTTGTTGGACTAAAGGGCCTGTTTCCACAATGTTGGGATTCTATGAATTTACATTTTTCTTTGACAATGTACAACTGACTAATTGTGATCCTTATTTTGTTTATAGCGTCACATCAAACATTATAGCAAGAGGGATTCTATTCTGCTTCTGTCACCTTTTCCTACTGTGCCTCTATGGTAACTGCCCCAAACTTTAGTGCATTCCTTATAGCACAGGCCCAGACCATGGAATGTCCCTATCAGTGACAATCAAGATCCATATCTTCAAACCACTCTCAGGCTGATACCACTTTATCTAAGCAACTTTCTCCTGTCATACGAACCAGGCCATACATCTTTCACTTACAGATCACAGGCAAGTCTTTCAGACTTCTTTCCCAAAACTTCTTTTGCCCTGCTGCAATCCTCAACTACTTCAAATGTCTCTCAAAACATCCTACTTTTACCATTCTTTCCAACTCATCTTCAATCCAAAATCCACTTCTGTTTCCATGTAGAATCTAAAGACATTCCTTTTATCCTGCTATATAAATATATCCATTACTTGCAAAGAGACATGTATTAACTTTATTACAAAACACAGAAGTACACAATTTGGTCCCTTGAGCTGATTACACAAGTTCAATTACACCATGGCATGGGATGAAACATTTTCATTCATATCAAATGCAGACAAAGAATAACCATTTAAAACAATGTACAGATTTAGGTAAATTATATTAAAAGAACAAATGAGTATCATTGATGCAATATTCATTATTTTGCTTTCAAACCTGCTCATTAAACACAGCTACAAAACTGCAATGACAGCATGACGATTCTAGCAACTTTCTCCCATTTTGGAATTCCCATAAATTGTAAACCAAGACAGTCATCTTAAACAGTTGGTGTACACAAATTTTGCCAATTTACCTTGGGAGGAAGAGGTGGTGGCATCCTGGGTTTCATTGTTGAGCTATAGATTCAAAATAAAATGAATAGTTAACAATATGACACTATGCATTGTACACAATAGATTACACATCTTAAGTCCCAAACAGTTACCACCATTTGAGGACTCTATGCACGAGAATAAACTTCTAAATTTCCTGCGCTAAATGCAACTCCTGAAAGAGCTAGATGGTAAAATTCCACTCCAATGAATAAGCAACTCCAGTTACACCAGCTGAGACACTATTGGTCACGTTAAATTCTGTTCTGCACTCGGTTAAAATACCTGCCCCTCCACTTCACCTGCTTTATCTATAAAATGCTTGTCATCGTTGGCTATCTGTCCTTTCTTTGCAGTACAAAAATCAAAGCTGAAATTTTATTCAATGCAAAATTTTCTTATAAGCACACAACAAATTGCCAATTTTATCCAAATTCCACACAGCAGCTTTCCTTACTTGTGCATGTATCAGCCATTAAGAAAATGCAATCTGTGGATACCCGATTTTGTAAAAAGTACTTTCAATGTTTTTTATATTTCTTTCTGACAGTAGAGTACTTTATTAAATGAGTTCCTCAATGATTCTATATTGCAGTGGCACAATTTTGAGTGTTATTAAGTTAAACAAATTGGATCGTCTTAGGGCTTCTTGAAAAGCGTAGAAAAACCAAACATCTCTTGTTTTTAAAACCATACACAAGACTTGATGCAAGTTCAGACATCATGCAACCAAGCTCCTGTGCTACAAAACAGTCTCATCCCCTATTGCATTCCATGAAGAGACTATTAGTAGCTAAATTCAGAACATGTCCCACAACAACTGAGAAGTAGATTTCAGTTGTTATAAATCACTTGGAAAAGACAACAGCTAGAAAAAAGCCTACAGCCACAATGTTGAACCTAAATTCAACCTGAATCAGTAGAGTTGAAGGGCAGTTTTGGATTAAATTTTCCTCAAAGTTCACTTAAATTGCAGTGTTCAACTCAGTTTTTACTTCATCTCATTCCAAATACAACAAAGCTAGTCAGAGCAGCTAATCGGGTCTTGCCCTGTTGCCTACCATAGGACTATTGTATATCTGTTGCAGGTTAAGTATTTTTTGTCTTAAAGCTTGTTCATCATAATATCACAACTAGAATGGTTACATGATGCAAAACAATTACTAAATACTTGTTGGTACTTCAGATGATGTGACAATTTGCATTAGTTGTCAATATTGTTTCGTTTTTTGAAAAAAAAAATCAACAGATGTCATTATCCAGTCATTATGAGATGGGTTCTGAACCCTCACATTCTAAAGTATCCACAGGAATTTAAAAAAAAAAAATCTAACACTTGTTAGATGATGTAATGATACTGGCAACCCAAGATGCACTTCATGATGTTTTGGCTCACTTGTTTTCAACTACGTAGCACATGCATTCTATAAGTTTTGAAAAATGAACTTGAAGATACATTTTATACATGAAAAACAGTCAAGCTAATTCAGCTATCAAGAGGTTATGGCAAAAAAAAACTTAAAAATAATGAGTGTTTTCGATGGCAATACAGTTAATGTATCTCAAGGCTTCAAGAACAAAAAAAGTAGCCAAGCAGGATGGCAATGAATCATAAAAGGATGCTTTCGTTTAGCTGGTCCGAATTTAGATAGATTGCAGAATGTCATGCAGATTTTAATGGAGATCGTTCTGACTTATATTCTCAATAGTACTCAAAGTAAAACCAAATTCAGCTAAACTAGAAGAAGAAAAGACTTACTGTTCAGATTCATCATCATCACCATCATCATCATCTAAATGTGCCACGTGTCCCCTAAGGAGATGAACAAGGTACTTATGGCTCAGTGGATTTCAGTGGAATAATTTCAGCTAAAGAACAGAACTCTAGCATGCACGACCTTTGGGGCTTGCTCTGTATGGAGCTCAGCTCTACGTATTCTATGATTTTTTTTATTATTAATAAAAAGATAGCTACAATTTTGGAAAATTAGAGTTGTATAAAATCTATATGACAAGTAAATGTTACCTTTAGGTCACTACATTCTTTTTGAAAATGCTAAGGGAGGATTTTTACTTTACGAAAGGTAACAAGAGAAAAATTACCGCTGATGCAGTTCCTCTTCTACTGATTTTAGAAGACTCCTTGGAATTTTAAAACAGGAAACAAGGGCTTATTTTAAACTTCACAGAAAGTAGCACACAATTATACACTTTTTGAATACATACGAACCAAACTTAAGAGGAAAAACAGCACAATTATGTTGTTGCTACACAGTATTGGAAAACTTTATATGGATAAAATATATCAAAAAAGGTGCAGAAATTCAAATGAACACCCAAGAGTGGTGTGAATATCAAAAATGTGTTATTATGTTTCAGTAATATATAATACACAATGCAACTATTTACTATGTTTTTCAGACTAATGTGAGTATTCATCTTTACTGGAGAAAATACTGACCGTAAACAATTAATTTACCCAGTTGATCACGAAAATATAATTTGCCTGCGCACACTAGATTTTGATTTTCAACAATACTAAGTCAACTGGGCAGTTCTTTTTCTTAAAGCAAACTGAACATATCCAAGGACAGATGATGGATTTTTACTCAATTTCTCATCTCATAAATCGCTGTACTATAGTAAAGGACATTAAGACAAGAGTCTTTTTCAAACGAAATGTCTAAACTGGAATTTAAAATGCTGACTTCTTAAAAGAGAACCAAAGTGGCAAAGCATACCTATCAATTAAATCATTTGGAACAGTATGATTTTGAAAAGGAAATAAAAATCTAGCAATTGAGGCAGATGAAGGACCTTCTCCATTTTGGGAAAATCAAGTGCTTTGTTTAAATAAAAATGTGACAGCACACAAATAAGTGGGGTCACGTGATTTTCTTTTATCATATAAAGCCAAAGTTTTGTACCAATTCCATTTGATTTGAATTAAAATATCACCCAAAAATAATTATATCCCTGCAAGTCACACAAATACAGTGTAAGGAATAGCATGTGCGGAGGTGACATATTATTTAAAGATGAAAACCTAGCTGGTACGGTCCTTCTATCTCCTTCGTTGTGCATTCTCAAGTTTGTACAAGTGCAGATGAAGATAGTCAACTTTCAGAAGGGGTAGTGATGACTTACTGTTACAACCAATCTGCAATTAGCATTGCCGAGTGCTGCAATAAAATCTGGATAATTATTTTTAGTATTTGAGAATTATGCCATGTTGCAACTTTGTATGCAAAATTAACTGGAATTTTAAATGCCAGTGACCAGCTATCTAACAGGTAGAATGATCCATAATTTGTTCTTTGGACAGCAGTCATGTGGCTACCTAGTCTTCAGTTACTGGTTTGCCTTACACCTTAGTGTCAAAGGAAATATAAATAACTAAAAACTTCCTAAAATGATACCATGCAAAATACACCATCTTGCATAATGAAAATAGTGTTTCAATTCTGGCTTTAGTGAGAAAACAGTGATGGAATTACTCTTTAGATTCAAAAGGAAACTGGCAAGTGATCTATAATTAAAAACTTCGGATGAGTGCTAAACATCACTCTAATGCCTAATCAAGGCAAGATAATCAACAAACTGGACTCCCAGTTCTCTCAATCTGCAATGTCACAGATGCCATTTCTCATATCGGAACTTTAGGCTCAAATAGATCAGATTTGAACACTGTATTTTAATGTGTCGAACTAAATTAATAAGGAATCATCTTGTTTTAAAATAGAGAGTTAATAGTACAATCATAAGTGGGCCAGAGTGAAATCAGCTATTGATGCAAAAAGAACTATATGCATGGAATCACAAACTTACACATTTTTGCTTTCACTTATACCAACATCTGAATGTTAGATAAGAATCCTAATTGATTATGAATGAATGAAAGGGCTGTGATGCATTAAGCAGTGCAGGATGTTGCTAGTGTAGTGAATAGATGATGTCATTTGAAGGCACAGTGATTTGGCCAGTTGTATGATGTCACTGAACATTGTCCTGGATTACAACCAGACCCTTCAGGTCACCTCCCCATCCAACCGCTCAGATTTCCTTGTCAAGCTGTGCCACAAAGGCTTCCTGTGGAAACATGAACTTTTTCTTTCTTTCCACTTCTTAAGTTAAGTTCTCCCACAATGTATAGAAAATCTGGGAGCCCTCTTTCGACTTGCTCATTCATTATCAGTTATCTTCCATCCAAAGACTTCAAGAGTGTTCCAACAACTGTTGCAACCTCAATGCACTTCCTTGTTAAGTGTGGCAAGGTGCTTTAAGAAGATGACTAGCTGTATAGTGCACTAGCCATGCAAACACTTGGGTCCCCTGCTAAATGTGCAGGCAATCAATAGCATGCTTCACACTAGGCTGCATGCTACAATCAGGCTGAACAGGTTACATGACTGGTGTGTTTGCTGCTTTACTCAACTGAACAAGGCAAACAGCAAATGCATTTTATGATTCCTGTGCCTGCTAATGTACTTAATCAAATTTTCTCCCTCACTGTTGTAGACGCTCTGTAATCTCTCCAACTTCTGTGGAGCATGGAATTAAGAAAATTGAATGCTAAAGTGTACAGCCAAAACAGTAAAATAGTCAAAAAAAGCAATTCTCAAAACCATGCACTCAGGCTTTGGCCAGACTATATAGTTTTAGGTTTCTTCCTCTGGTTGCCAAAACATAGAAATATTCATGCACTACAAGCAGTTCAGTGATGAGTTTGTTGGTTGATATTAGCTTAATTTGAGAAGGGAGAAATTTGTTTTTTTTTCAGTCTTGAAAGGAAGCGACCAAGAAGTGAACTGCTACGAGAGTACAGCAATTGTAGATTCAGAATCAGATTGGGACACTTCAAATGAGTGAAATACTTTCACTGAAGCAGTGAGTTCCATGTTTGTCAACGTGCATGTTCAGATGACTTTCAGGATGGCACTATAGACTAGTGTTCAATGGGAACTTAAGACCCTCACAACAATTCACCCTGCTGTGCTCCAGCAGATTACCAGGACTGCCTCAGGTCCACCAGTAATTGTACTAAGTAAATAACCTCATTGATACTGTCAGGCTGGTGCCTTCTATCCAGTTTCAAAGGGTACAGCCCAGTCGTAGGTTGTCCTCCTGTGATCAAGAATTCAGGTCTAGAGTCAAGATGTAATCCTTTCTTTCTGATTGGGATTCTTTCATATTCTGATTTCTGAAGGATCACCATTGATAATCAAAACCACAAGATAATTTACCTTACAACGAGACCAAAAACTGGGCTTAAAAAATGTAAAATTTACATTGTGACAACTCATTAGGTATCTCAACCTTTACATATGTTGAGCATGTGTCCCTTACAGACTTCAGGTATTGGACTCCAGTTGCAGAAAGACTGTCCATATGAAATATATTTAAAGTGCATTTCACAACCTTGAGCGCTATCTAAGCACCTTATAGCAACAAAGTACTTTTAGTGTGTAGTTGTCATCATGGCATTGTGGCAACCAACTTGCATGCACAAAGTTCAACAAACGACAAAGCAGTGATAACCATATTGTGTGTTTTGGGTATCCCTTAGTTGACAGACAAATATTAGCTATGAGAATAAAAGGGCTTCGCTCAACAGCTCAAATCAGTAACAATAACATGTAATGAGGCACACAGAATGAAAGATAACACATTTGAGGGTATTGAGCTAGGTGATCTTAACCAAGGTGGTGAGGATTTATGCTCCTGATCACTATCCAATAGCCCTTGGAAAACACGCAGTGGAATGTGCTGCGTAAGGTTGTGATTAAATACAACTGTGATGTGCCTACAGGAGACTGATGAGCCTGCCAACCCTCATTAATGGAGAATAATAATTTAAAGGGTGCACTGAAGACTGTGAGGTCACCATACACAATCAAATGTCAATTCCTATGAGGAAGGGGAAAAATAGCAAGCCATAAGTCATGAAGATTTAGCATTAGAAATAACATTAGCATGAAAGAGCGAAGACATACTTATTTTTACATAATACTAATAAAACCAGTAATCACATAACTGCTTTTAACACCCATATGCAGAAACAGAAACAATGATAATCTCCAAAAATGCTGTAACAATCAGCCGCTCTGGGCAAATGCTTCCAGAGCAAGGTCAGTTTCAAAGTTGTAATTAGCATAGATTCTCTAATGAAAGTGAAATAGAAAATATATACACTAACAAGAGATGAGTAGATTACATAAATTGGCCATGTACACAGGTAATTAAAATATTGTGAACAAGTACAGGAAATAATCAAAAGGATTAACTGTTATAATTCAACAACTAGAATACAAGAGTGCAGAAGCTATTCTACAGTAATACATCGTGCTGGTTAGACCACATTTAAAACAGAGAGCAATTCTGGCCACTACACCTTTCAGAAGACATACTAGCCTTAAAGGGAATGCAGCATAGATTTATCAGAATAACAACCACTCCTGGAGTTCAGGTATAAGGTGAGATTACATCAACTAGCACTGTGTTCCCTGGAACTTACGGTCAATTGGTGTTATGATCAAAGTTTATACAATACAGCAAACTTTGTTTCAAGTGGCATCTTATGAACCAGGACTCTTGATAAACTGGCAAAAATTATATACCTGAAATACAGGAAGTTTACTGCAATATCATGATCTCCATGATGTCCAAGTAATCAGTTGAGGGTGCGAGTTAGAAGGCTGTCTGCCGGTAAGTTTTATTTAAAGCAAAGTTGCACAAATCACTTAAATAATAAAGTAAAACAGTGATGTGCATACCCCCACATCATGTTTCCATTACTTAGTGCATGTTTTTACATTGATTATGTGAATCTCTTGATCAACTGAAAGATGTAGTCAACTGGTACACTCCTGGTCCCATAGGTGCTGGTTAATAAGAAGTTTGCTGTATTAAGGGAAATTGACATAGCAGCTGGCTAAAAATAGTAACTATTTCCGTTGACTGAGAAGAAAGGAATAGGAGACAGAGCCTAAAAATTACAGCCAGCTTTTGTTAGGAGTGAAGTTAGGAATTATTTTAAACGCAACGGGTGGTAGAAATTTGAAACACACTTGCACAAACTACAGCTGGTGGTAAGTAGAATTTTAACTTTATATCTGAGATCGATAGTATTTTATTAATCAAAG